AGCTGCACAAGCTGCGTGCAAAGAAACTCCCGCCGCCCCAAGCTTCAGGGCTGCCTCGTTAAAGGAGTGCGGAGGCCAGACTCGCAAATGAGAAAAAGCAAGCTCAGGGTTGGTGGGTCGCATTTTGGGCTGTGGAAGAGGAGCCAGCTCCATTCCTGGAGTTCTCTCGAGTTCCTGCACTTTTGGTTTTGCTTTTTGCCAATCCACCTCCCAAGGCTGCTCCAGGTGCTCCAGCCTGAGGGCTGCTGGGGCTTCCCGCAGTTTGGCCCCATTATATCCTATGGGCCATTGAAGTAAATGGCGAAAACATAGGGTGTATTCTGGGGGCTGGAGGGGAGGGGGTTTGAGGGAGAGGCTCCATAATCGCAGGGTAGCTGCTGGAGCCTCTCCCCAAGATACCCACCATGTTTCAGGAACATTGAACCAGGGGGTCCAATTCTACTGGCCCCCAAACAGGTTGCCCCATCCCCTCCATTGTTCTCTATGGTGGGAAAAAAGTAACTTTTTCCCCACCATAAAAAAGTAACTTTTTTCCCACCATAGAGAACAATGGAGGGAATAGGCCGTCAGCGCCTACAGCGGAAGAGCCACACTCAAGGGGCCAAAGAGCCGCATGTGGCTCTAGAGCCGTAGTTTGCCTACCACCGGGCTATGTGAACACATCTGTAGGTTTTTGAGGGCTCGGGATGTTCCATGCATTCCGCTACTGCAGCTACCACCCAGTCCCCAAGTTGGGGCTTTCTTCTCCCACTCCATCTTGGCCTTTTCTAGGGCTGCCAGCCTCCAGGTGAGGCTCGGAGATCTCCCAGATTTACAACTGACCTCCAGACTACAGAAATCAGTTCCCCCAAAAGAAACAGCAGCTTGAGAGAGTGGACTCTACAATGTCGCATCCCCTCATTCCCAAAAATCTGCCCTCCCCACGCTCTGTCCCCAAATCTCCAGGAATTTCCCATCTTGGAATTGGCAACACTGGACCTTCCCCGCATCCTTGCAGCTTCTTTCTCCCACCCCACCAGTTGGAGAAATTCTAGCGCAGGAGTGTCAAACTCATTTGTAATGAGGGCCAGATCTGACATAAATGAGACCTTGTTGGGCCGGGCCCTGTGTGTCATAAAATGTAATGCCAGCTAGCGGAGATATAAACTTTATAGACTCAAACACAAAAGGTTTTTTTTTACTTAAAATAAAAACACGCTTAAAACATTAGCACTCTTTCAATATTTTGTTTATTTAACAGTGTCTGATAACTGACACCTCTTGCTCTGAATTACTGCATCAAAATATCTGTGCTGTTGCAATCTTGAGTATGATGTTCAGGTGTATCTGTAAGCTGCAAACCTACGATGACGCAGCAGCAACAGAACTGGAAGAAGAAGCAGAAGGCAGCCAGTTCCACTGTTGGCCTGATAGAAGCCCTCTGGGGGGCCTGATCCGGCCCCCGGACCACATGTTTGACACCCCTGTTCTAGAGGGTGCCTTCTGCACACTCCTTTTAGCCTCACAGGTTGCTATTTGAGAGTTGGGAAATTCCTGGAGATTTGGGGATGGAGCCTGGGGAGGGTGAGGTTTGGGAAGGGGAGGGGTCTCAGTGGGGTATAATGCCCTTGGGTCCACCCTCCAAAGCAACCACTTTCTCCAAGGGAACTCTTCATGTTAGTCTGAAGTTGTAATTCCAGGAGATCTCCCACCCCCGCCCCCCGACCTGGAGGTTGGCAACACTGCGTTGGCACCAGCAGTCTAAGAGAAGTAACAACGGTTTGTCTTGTTAAAAAAATACTTTATCCACAAAAACACAGGCTCCAAGCGGTTTGCAAAGCGCCCATGTTACAAACCATACAAACCAGCTCATTGAAAGCAAGACCAAGCAGAAGCACCACAGACCAGTTAGTATCAGATTATCATCCAAATACCTCTGTCATCATGGCAGACTGAAAACCAGTAACACAGAGGTTGAACTGTTAAGTCGCCCACTTAACAGAATAGTCGGAGAGTGATTCAGCAAAGATTCAGTTTTATTCAACAACTCGAACACAACTCCAACACGGATCAACATTTGATAGCCAGAACAGCTTTTACATTGCAGCTGTCCTGCTTTTAAACTCTCCCGGCTAATGTAGCCACGCCTACTATACAATTACCAACCAATAAGGTTGCATACATAAGGACCAATCACAGACATTCCCGCTCAGGGAGCTTGTTGATAGTGATTGGTTAGGTGCTTCCTGGGCTAGCAATGTGATTGGATGTATTTGGATCCTAGCCCAGGACAAAGCTTAACATAGCATTTCGATTAGATGTTTTCATCACACGTTATGCATTCAATGGCAGCTTATTGAATACATTACATGAACCAAGAACTCAACAACAACACAGAGTTTTCTGGTAGGTTGGGTAACTGTGTTGGTGTGAAGTAGAAGATCTGAGTCCAGTAGCACCTTAAAGACCAACAAGATTTCCAGGGTTTAAACTTCCCCCTCTTATATGTATATCTTTATTTTATATAGGGCACAGAAAAAAGATGGGTATAAGGGGGAAAGAGAAATAAAC